GACTGCTGACAACTGAAAGAATTGGAGGCCAACACATCTGGAGCTCACCTGATTGCAAAAAAAANCCTGCTGGGCCACAACACATACCATTGGTTCAGCTTAAACCAAGGTTTCCTTTCAGGTGTATTCTTGTCATTCCTGACCTGCAAATGGGAAAGCGGTGTAAGTTACCCTCTTTTCCCAAAAATAAGACCTCCCCGGATAATAAGCCCAGTCGGGCTTTGGAGCGCATGCGCTAAAATAAGCCCTTTTCTGAAAATAAGCCCTCCCCTAAAATATTTAAACGCATGCACAGCCGGTTCCTGCCATTTTTCTGGGAGGAAGGAGGGGGCGTGCACATGGAATGGCCTAGTGGAGGCTGCTCCTGCAAACCTTAGCTCCCGCGCCCCTTCTCTTAGTGGCGGGAGCAGGAGGCCCAGTGACGCTAGCGCTAGCAAGAGTGTGCCAGAAACAGAACTTCCACCTCTCTCTGGATCAGCTGATCCATGGGGTGCAGGCTGAGGTTAAGGAGCACCTCCTGCACCCTGAAAATAAGGCCAAGCACTTATTTCGGGGGTCAAAAGAAAATAAGACCCTGTCTTATTTGGGGGAAAACATGGTATTAGCCACTGCACAGACTCTGTTTGGCAACACATTTGTCAATTACAACCATAATTGACCCCAAAAATTTATGTGGGTAAGTGAGAAATTTGTTAAGTGAGTTTTGCCCCCTTGCCACATCTGTTAAGGGAATCACTGCGGTTAAGTTAAGCTAGTAACACGGTTGTTAAGTGACTCCGGCTTCCCCCATTGACTTCGCTTGTCAGAAGGTCGCAAAAGGGGATCCCGTGACCCAGGGACACAGCAACCGTCATAAATGTGAGTCAGTTGCCAAGCGTGATGATGGGGATGCTATGCTGCAATGGTTGTAAGTGTGAAAAAACGTTCAGGTCACTTTTTTTGAGTGCCGTTGTAATTTTGAATGGTCACTAAACTGTTGGTAAACTTTCCGTGCCGTTGTAAACTTTGAGCTGGTGTAAGTCAAGGAATACCTGTATATTTCCTGATGTATAGTGCATGTGTGTTCATTAGAATAGAATAGAATAGAATAGAATAGAATAGAATGGAATGGAATGGAATAGAATAGAACAGAACAATTGGAAGGGACCTTGGAGGTCTTCTAGTCCAACCCTCTGCTTAGGCAGGAAACCCTACACCCTACACCACTTCAGACAAATGGTTATCCAACATCTTCTTAAAAACTTCCAGTTTTGGAGCATTCAGAACTTCTGGAGGCAAGCTGTTCCACTGATTAATTGTTCTCCCGGTCAGGAAATTTCTCCTTAGTTCTAGGTTGCTTCTCTCCTTGATTAGTTTCCATCCATCGTTTCTTGTCCCGCCCTCGGGTGCTTTGGAGAATAGCTTGACTCCCTCTTCTTTGTCCTTCCTTCACATGGATCCTCCTTCTGACCCATTGACTATAAGAACCATAATCCACAAGGCTAAAACAACACCGTTGTGTTGATTCACCAACTCCCCTTTCCCTTCACTGTCTTCAAGGAAAGTATCNCCCCACGCCCGGCTTCCAGGACGGGAGGTTTGGATGCTGATCCCGGGGCAAGCCCGAAAAGAGGATGGAGGTGGTAGACGATCTCCCTGGGAGTCACAAGAACGAGGCGATCAAACTTTCGCCTGGTAATTTAAATATCAGCATGATCGCTCATCTTTCCAAGAGTTTTTTTTTTCCACTTCAAGGTTTTTCTTTTTTAATGCAAATTATACATGTACGTTGTCCGGGTCTTTTCTTTTACATAGTCCTTTTTACCTCATAGTTTTGTTTTCATTTTCAGCCAGATTATTCTCTTCCATTATTTCCAGGAGTCTTCTGAATTCAGGTTTTCTCGGGGTCTGGAGCTTGGACACCGCTCGTGTAAAAATGCATCAGTCCCTGCCTAATTCCCTGGCGATTGCAATAAAAACACAAGCTGATTCTGGGTGCAAAATACGTGGAATATACAACCAGCGATATTTCCTTTGCTAATGCCTCCGGCTTTGGCAGTAGGAAAAGGAGGACCAAATTAAGAGCCGTTTGTTTCCTTTCAGCGGTCCCGTGGTGGATATTTATTATTTTGTTTTTTTAAATTCCAAGGCAATTTGGGTACATCGTCTACAGGGTGTGAAAGTTAGATCCACCAGCCAGTGGTTACATTCTCCACAGCCCTACCCTAAATATTTTTAATATTTCTGTAGAGGGAAGGGAATCCTTGATCTTGATGGGTGTATTGTCAGAGTTTGCATTATTTTGGTGATAATTGAGTGTATTCATAGTTTAAAACAAAACAAAACCTTGGCTTACAGTATCTTCCTACAAGCTTACCATTTCCCCTAGTTAAATAAATTGCCTAGTGTGTTATGAGATGTTTTCTTTTTTACGCTTATAAACTGGTGGTTTTTTTTTTAATGAATCTTTCTTCCTGCTTGAGATGGAATTCTGAGAGATGCAGTTGTCTTGATGCCAGTTGTCTTATTCAGTGCTAAGGGAGCTGAATCATTGCTGAAGGCAGGCAAACTCTCCTTTGCCAGGGCTGTATTGGTAGTTAGCTCCTGGCTACAGCAAGTCTGACTACTGCTTTGCAGGGTGCAAATGAAGAAGCACTGAAGTGGCACAGAAGAAAGAGAGAGAGAGAGGGAGAGAGAGAGAGAGNTTGATAGGGCTTTCGGTTATGACAGGTAGAGGAAAAAGTACATCGTGCTAGGAGGAGACTCTATGGTGGGGGAACTGAACTTCTGGTCAGCTCCAGAACTGAACAGGGGGCTTCCGGTTAGGATCTTTGTAGCTCCCGGTGTTTTCTTTTCTGTGGGAAACGGGTCCAAATGGCTCTTTGAGTGTTTACTTTTGCCGACCCCTGCTAAAGGGCAGTGATGGCTAATCTTTTCCGGTCCAAGTGCCCAAAGCGTGTGAATGTCCAAACCCCCCCAAATGCAAAGCATATACCCTGCACATGTGCCCCATGCCCCTTCATGCATGTGTGACTCACGCAAACACCTGTGCGTGCGACCCCACCCTGCACACCTTCTGCACATGACCCCCTTGCATGCCCCCTACCCCCCACACAAGTGCGGCAAGGACCTGAAGACTAGCTGGCTGACGGGAGGCACGGGTGCATGTGTGACAGAGCTGAACTGGGGTGATGGCTCGCATGCCATCATAGAGGGCACTGCGTGCCACATCTGGCACGTATGCCATAGGTTCGCCATCATGGCTATAGGGGTCCCACTCGGTGATCTGAACACAAACTTGAGTAAGTTTGACTCAACACATTATACACAGTTTAATACAGTCAGGTGCCTTCTAAATATAATACCATCAGGGGAGGTAAGAGAGGTAGTATGGTATGGAGGTTAAGGGATTGATCTAAAATTGTGGTAACCTTAGTTCTAGCTCACCTCAGTCATGAAAGCTCTCTGGATGACTTGGGGGATTTCTACCAGCCTCATCTACTCCATAGGTGCCTGATGGTTATTGGGATAACGGGATAGAAGCAGCAAGATTTCCCCCAAACACTGTAGCTCAGCCACGAGGAGATCATGCCGGACAACTAGTAACCACAGAGGAACTTTAAGACTTTCTATCATTGCTATAATTATCTCATTTGCAGCTGGGTAGAACCTCTGTGGAGAAATGAAGTCTTGCATTTCAATACGGTGCATATTCCTGAGGAAAAGTTCATGTGGAAAATGTTCTTAAATCCCTCCATCAATTTTTTTTTTAAAAAATCCGCTTTGACTTCCAGTTTCTATTTGCTGTTTTGGAGTTGGCTGCTTCGACCTGCTCGGATCAGCCACCTGTGCCGAAAAAGCCTCCTCTCACACTCTTTCTGTTTCCACAGCCGGGCCAGCTGTACAGCGTTGTGTCCTTCATTGTCCTCATCACTGAGCCTGGCTCCAGCGTCAAGGAGGATACGGATACAGTCAACCTGGCCCGAAGTGACCGCAACGTGGAGGGCTGTTCTACCCAGAGGGGTTTTAAGTTTCACGTCAGCACCTGGAAAGGAATAAAAGACATAGATCTGGGATTATCCAGAAGATTGGGTTTAACATTTGTTTTGTATAAAATGCAGTCAGAGAGAGTCTCTTTTATCAAGATCAGATGAAGTACTAATACCAGTCTATAAAACCGCACTTATACTGTAAGACCGCACTTAGATTATTTCATCCATTTTGGTTGCCACACTATGAAGAAGATATCGAGACTCTAGAAAAAGTGCAGAGAAGAGCAACCAGGATGATGAGGGGGCTGGAGACTAAAACATACAATGAATGGTTGCTGGAACTGGGAATGGCTATTCGAGTGAAGAGAAGGACCAGGGGAGACATGATAGCAGTCTTTCAATATTTGAGGGGTTGCCCCAAAGATGAAGGGGACAAGCTATTTTCCAAAGCACCTGAAGGCCAGACAAGGAACAATGGATGGAAACTGAACAAGGAGAGAGATTCAACCTAGAAATAAGGAGAAATGTTCTGATAGTGAGAGCAATCAACCAATGGAACAGCTTGCATTCAGAAGTTGTGGGACCTTCATCACTGAAAGCTTCAAAAAAGAGATTGGACTGCCATTGGTTAGAAATGTGTAGGGTCTACTGCCTGGACAGGGGGTTGGACTAGAAGACCTACAAGGTCCCTTCCAACTCCGTTAATACATTAAAGATCTGTTATCATCAGAGGACACATTTCTCATGCTCCATCGCTGGAGGCTTGTGAAAAACTGGACAGCCACTTGTCTGAAATGGTATAAGGTCTCTTGCTCGAAACAGGAGGTTGGCTTAGAAGACCTACAAGGTCCCTTCCAATTTTGTTATTCTATGTTCTAGCCTGAGCTGTTCTTTCCTCTTAAGCAGAAGTTTAATGTATTAACGGAGTTGGAAGGGACCTTGTAGGTCTTCTAAGCCAACCTCCTGTTTCGAGCAAGAGACCTTATACCATTTCAGACAAGTGGCTGTCCAGTTTGTCACAAGCCTCCA